TAGCAAAATATACGAGTGCACTTTGTAATGCTTGCCGCGAAGCGTCGAACAAAACTAGTAATCCTGTTGCCAAACGTCACTTCGTTCAATCAGCCAAGGACGTTGCCAATTCCACGTCAATTCTGGTGAAAGAGATCAAGGCGCTGGATCAGAATTATTCCGAGGCTAATAAGGAGAAGTGTGCAGAGGCTACCAAGCCATTATTAGAAGCAGTTGATAATCTATGTACTTTTGCTGGATCCTCAGAATTTGCCAGTCAACCTGCAAAGATATCCGTTGAAGCTAGAGCTGCTCAAGAGCCAATAACTGCAGCTGGTAAAGCTATTATCGATGGCTCTTGCGCTATGGTGCGAGCTGCAAAGAGTCTGGCAGTCAGTCCGAAAGATCCTCCAACCTGGCAATTATTGGCAAACCATAGCAAGAATGTCAGCGATTCGATAAAGGCTTTGGTTGCTTCTATCCGCGAAAAGGCACCTGGCCAGAAGGAATGTGACACCGCGATCGAGAAACTGTCAGCCCGAATTCGAGAATTGGATGCTGCATCTTTCAGCGCTGTTTCACAGTCACTGGTTCCGCGGAGAGAGAATACGATGCAAGCATTCACCGATCAAATGGAGAATAGCGCTAGCGAGCTGCGAGAAAAATTAGAGCCTCTGCGAACAGCTGCCAAATACGAGGCTGAAAATGTAGGACATGCTGTCAATCAGATTGCTTTGTACTGCGAGCCTCTGGTTTGTGGTGCTATCGGTGCTGCTTCAAACATGGTGCACTCGAAACAACAGATCGTGCTACTGGATCAGACGAAAACCGTCACCGAATCTGCTTTGCAGCTTGTTTGTGTGACAAAAGAGTCTGGTGGTAATCCAAAGGCTGTTACCCTGCACACTGAAGTAGATGAGATGGTGGAATCTATGAAAGACGCATTGCACGAATTGCAGAACACTTTGGAAGCAATTTCGACATCATACGGAATTGTTACCGGGCTGATTGATACTATTTCTCGAGCTATGGTTAGGTTGGAAGATCACAGAACATCTACGATTGATACGGTGGACTCTTACGTGGATTATCAAACGAGAATGGTGGAAGCTGCTAAGGAGATCGCTCGGTTGGCACAGGAAATGGTAAAGGATAGTTCTAGTATTTTTGTAATATTTAATGCTCATTCATCTCTTTTGTGTTGATTTGACATATTTTTCTTACAAAAAGTTATATTATTTTAGAGTACGTAACTGACACACTATTTTCTTAACGTGTTACATAATATATTTTTGACAATATAATATATTAATTTATATAAATATATTTATATATAATAATAATTTATTATATTATATATGTTACAAGTATATTATATTTTCTGTTTTAATAAAAACAATATGTAGCAGATATATGTAGACTGCAGATAATATTTGTTACAAAAAAGATTTTATGAAGACGTGTATCTTTTACATGTTTTTAAGTTTTTTAACAATATATACTGCTCATAAAAATTAGGGGATATTTCAAAATGAATATGAAGCGATAAAAAAAAAAGCATTTGATTTTTTTTTATTAAACAAGAACATCAAAAAAGCAAATGACAAGTTGCTCTTGTTTAATAGCAAGATGTACTTATTTAATAATAAAAAAACATCAAATACTATATATGAAAGTAGAATTAGCCTGAATTTTATACATGAGTATAAATTTATTATTATTTATTTTTTTGTTATACTAATTTTTTACCATTGTGATAATCTGATACAAGGAACAAATTAAGTTGATTAATAAAATGAAGGACAAATGATCAAATGTCGTATTAGGAATCTTATAACACTTAATTGAAAGAAAAAAATAACTAATATAAGAATCATTAACGTAGTTTACATTCAATTAATGTCCAATCTTTATTTATTTCAGTCAACCAAATCCAGCACTGACGTAGCCAGATTAAGTCCTCTTATAGTGGACATCTCCCACAAGTACACTCAGCTAGCCCGCGATACATCTGGTGCCTCAGCGGCTGCATCTAACGCTGAAGTTTCAACAAGGCTTCGCACAAGTGTTCAGGAGCTTGGCAAAGCTTGCGTAGACATCGTTAGGGCAGCAGGAACGTGTCAAATGTCATCAGGAGACGCTTACGCTCAAAGAGAGGTCGCAGAGCATAGCAAGATCGTCACAGAAAAAGTATCTCAGGTACTGGCAGCTCTTCAAGCTGGTTCTAGAGGTACACAAGCGTGCATCAACGCTGCGAGCACTGTGTCAGGCATTATCGGTGATCTGGACACAACAATTATGTTCGCAACTGCTGGGACCTTGCATGCAGAGAACGAAGGCGACACTTTTGCCGATCATCGAGAGAACATCTTGAAGACAGCCAAGGCTCTCGTTGAAGATACGAAAACTCTGGTAGCTGGTGCAGCCTCGTCTCAAGAACAGTTGGCAGTAGCAGCCCAAAATGCAGTTTCGACTATTGTTCAGCTTGCTGAAGTGGTTAAGTACGGTGCAGCCAGTTTGGGCAGCCAGAATCCCGAGGCTCAAGTAATGTTAATCAACGCCGTAAAGGACGTGGCTTCTGCACTTGGCGACCTGATACACGCCACTAAAGCAGCCAGTGGAAAACCTATCAACGACCCGAGTATGGCACACTTAAAGGACTCCGCCAAGGTAAGATGATTGGTTTGCTAATCTTCCTTGTTTTCGTCGCTTTACTTGTTTTTATCACGTTAACTTGTTTTTGCGGATGATCGAGAGGTCTCCTTTTAGTAGCTTAATATTAACTCTGAAGATACGCTTGAGTTGAAAAGGTAACGACAACAATGTATAACGGAATAGTCACGTCCAAGATGTGTCAGAAAATAGAGCTTCATGTAAGAAAGTACATGCGACTGGATGTAGGAAAGTATAATATGCGAACAAGATATTCGTTCTTGATTTCCTAATCAGTTAAATATATAAGAATAGTTTATATGTATTCTGAGATATCGAGAATGGAATAATTTATACGCATCTCAACATGTTAGATTTGTGAAATTTTTATGTTTTTGTGGCACGTTATCTTTTATTTCAATTATCTTTCAGCGCACGATTAATTACTAGAATGTTAAAAAAGAAATCGGAAATTAAGAAATGCTTGATTAAACACAATATTAACCGCAGCAAGAATCACATTAATTCGCAGAGAAGAGGAAAGTCGAAGCAGGACATGTGAAATCCTGTTGTGGCGAACCTAATTCGTTGTTGTTTCTCTCGTTAACATACTAAATTTGATCTTCACGCTTAACATCACGTACCAATTCCCCGTTATTTTTTGGGTGGACTTTAATCGATAAACTCCATTTCACCTCTAACCGACTTTAACTCTAAAAAGAAAATGATAGAAAAAAAATACAAAAAGGTACAAGAGTAAGTCGAAACTCTGTAAATAATTGTCGATGATGTCGCTCACGAGGCAATTCGGTAAAAACGGTCTCGACCAAAGTTTCATTGTTGAAAACTATTAAAGTCCACCTTGCCATACTCCTACTCGTTCGATGTTCCATCTTTTCTTTCGTGTGTGTGAAACATTACGTATACACTCGATTTCTGTGTTCACTTTGATGGAAAGTATGTAGATTAGCTGTGCGAGGCAGAACCGATTTTCGCTTCAACAACTTCAAGAATTATATTCCTAGTCGGCTTTTATTTTTTTTTTTTTTTTTTTTTTTTTTTGCTTGTTGATGATGAGATTTATATATATTTACGTGATGAAAAAAGTAGCGAAAAAGAAACATTTTCTGTCATGAAAATTGGTGGACTTTAATTGTGAGTTTTCATTGACGATTTTGGTCTGGCCGATCCGGATAGGTGTTAGAACAGCAGCTACAACAGCAGCTGATGCCTCTGAGTGACGTCGGCGGCTCGGAATCCGAATGGTTCGTGTCCGATCAAGAGGAGGAGCTGATACGTCTGCTCTCAGCTTCAGAGAGCGAACAACCGTCTCAGCGAACTTCCGATTTGCTGTTGCTTATGTAGCCGAAAGCATTGATTGAGATTCTTTGCAATCTCTCTTTGGTTCTCAATGGACACGAAATTGTTCACTCTTTTGGCACATTAGAATTGGAATTGGAAAAGTGTTCATTACTTATAATTGGATTTTTATGTATTTACTCTTAAGCGTTATTGTGAAGTTACAACAATTCAATGTTTCAACAATTCTGTTACAGATGAAATCAAATTAAGTGAAATTTAAATTTTTATCGCTTTTTATACGGCAATGTTCAATGATATCAATTAGGCATTGAAGATCTAGAAGATATAGGTATTTGTTACAACATTTAATAAAGGAAGTAAATTTCCTACTAACGCTCCAATTATGCTTCAAATATGAAATTTCATAAAAATCCGCAGTCTACTTATAATTAGACTGCGAATTTTATCATTATTATATAAGAAATTTAAGTTAGGACATGTACATAATATTCAAAAATTTACAAAACAAGCGAAGTGTCTAAAGTATATATCTAGTGGATGAAGTAAATTTTTACGTAGATTCAATTTAATTAGATTTAATGAGATAAAAATACGAATTAATATAAAAATCCGCAGTCTACTTATAACTAAGTTCTTCTCTTTATATAAATACATAAAGGAGAAGACAGTCAGTATACAGTACCGAAAGGGTGAAAAAAAGAAAGTGTGAAAAACGATTCCAACAAAACAATATTACCAAGTATTTTCTAAATATCAATTCACTACGAAGAGACTTTGGTAACGAATTTGTTCTGAAATTCGCGTTTTATAGTTCTCCTTCTCTTCAAATATTTATGATATAAATCACGATATAAGTTACTATATATATCGAGGTACTGAATACAGTACTAATGATACGTTTATAGTAATATATGTTGATTAATAATATTAAAAACTAGTAACACAAAGTGCGCTTCTCTGCTACATTTCCAGTCAATTGCATTCATATTGTAAACATTCTTGCTCTGCGAACAATTGTATCGTGTTTCCGTTGAGATATTACTACATATACTTTGTATCATACGTTAGTCTCTCTTTTTATATTATTTTTTCTCTCTTTTTTTTTTGTAACAAAGAAATAAATCGCCGAATTTTTATTACGCTACATCTTTTAGAAAAATGCGTTAATCCATCCGTGGACAGAAATTTTTTTTAAAACGAAACAACTTTTAGGTATGTACATTCTATTTGCAAACTTGTGTGCATTAATGATTAATAGTACCGTGCTTTAATGCTTCGTCGACTAATTTGGAGATTAATATGTTATTCACCGTTTGTTTAAAAGAATCTAGTATAGATAATAACATTTTTAAGCAGACTTTTTTCTATCGTTTCTAATGGAAGTTATTGAAATTTTACTGAAACATATATAAAAATGGAAAATATGAAAGTATCTGGAAAATATCGCCAAATGTAATGAGTGATCTTGCGATAGATATCAGAATGATGAAACGAGTAATTGCAAAGAAAATTATTTCTATACGTGTTTTATTCTCTAATATCATTTTACAGCAATCGGTTTGATCTCTTTCTTAATATTTTATCTAGAGTGTAGTTACAATGCTAGAAATTCACTAACAATATTTGAAAAAGATATGTTAACTTTTCTCAAGGTTCTTGTGCAGCAGAACATCTCGTCATCATCACTTTATTCAAAGTACAAACTGATAACAATTATATTAACACTGTAACATGTTTTATATTCATAGTACCTAATCTAAAAATCACGTAACTGAACGCTCAACGCATAGAAGTATTTAATAAAAAAAAAAAAAAAATAGAAATAGTGATTAAAATTACGTGATTTTAGATGTCAGTAATTCATCAATGATTCTCGCACCCATTTTCAACGATGAGTACATAAGAAACAGTACCCAGATTGTCGCACATAATACACATACTAAACGGAACATACAATAATTTACTTTACGTTCTATTCTTCAGGTGATGGTGACCAATGTAACGTCCCTGTTGAAAACGGTGAAAGCTGTGGAAGATGAGCACACTCGTGGTACCAGAGCTCTGGAGTCGACTATCGAGGCGATAGCACAAGAAATTCGCGCCCTAAACACTCCAGAGATGCAAAGGAGCAACGTGACACCTGAAGATCTTGTTCGATGCACGAAGAGCATCACTACGTCAACGGCAAAGGCTGTGGCTGCTGGGAACAGTTGCAAGCAGGATGATATAATCGCGGCAGCAAACATGGGACGAAAGACGATCAGCGACATGTTGACCATTTGCAAAGGGGCAGCGTACAATTGCGCGGAAACAGCTGAACTGAGGGACAGAACTCTTCAAGCTGGCCACGATGTCGCCATTAATTACAGAGAATTGTTGCAAGCTATATTGCAAATATCTTCAAGATCTGGCGATGCGAAACACACGTTGCCACCGATTAGCAGAAAGATCGCACAGAGCGTCACCGAATTGGTGGCTGTGGCTGAATTGCTGAAGGGCACCGACTGGGTTGACCCCGACGACCCGACAGTCATTGCCGAAAATGAGTTACTAGGTGCTGCCGCTAGCATTGACGCTGCTGCGAAGAAACTTGCTAGCCTGAGACCTAGAAAGAGTATACAGGTAATTCTCTTGGATGATACTGTTCTGGTTAATAGCGATAATGATTTGACTCGGATGTGAAAAATGTTTGAATCTTTTGAAATCAGTTGGTTATCAGGGTTGAGTGAGAATTTCCCTCTCCTTTTATTGTTAATTGCGAAACAATTGAATGTCTCGGTAATCATCATTCACTGGGAAGCAGTCTGGTTTCCGTAAGATATGTTTGATATTCTTGGTTGTTTTTAAAGAATCGACCAGGAATCAAACATATTATTACGGAGGTCAGGAAAGTCGACGGAAATTCACTGATGGTAAGGCGATTATATGCGCGCGTCGTTTAAATGAAAATTTCTCAAGTTATCAGTGCTTTAATTACTTCTTTTCACAAGAATTTTCACTTTTCCTTTGTAGGAGGCAAGCGAAGACATGAACTTCGACGAAATGATCCTAGAAGCAGCCAAATCTATCGCGGCCGCTACATCGGCACTTATAAAAGCAGCTAGTGCCGCTCAAAGAGAGTTGATAGCAACCGGAAAGGTTTCTCGAACACCTCTAACTAGTTCTGACGATGGCCAGTGGTCCGAAGGCTTAATTTCTGCCGCGAGAATGGTCGCGGCTGCAACCCACAGTCTCGTGGAATCTGCAAACGCTCTGGTACAAGGTGTCAGCTCTGAAGAAAAATTAATTTCCAGCGCGAAACAGGTGGCCAGCAGCACAGCACAATTATTAGTCGCTTGCAAAGTGAAAGCGGATCCGGACAGCGAGAGCACAAAACGTCTTCAAGCAGCTGGAAACGCCGTAAAACGCGCTACCGATAACTTAGTACGAGCAGCCCAGCAGGCTATTCAACAAGAAGAAGATAGATCTTTGATCTTAAATCGTAGAATGGTTGGAGGCATCGCTCAGGAGATAAACGCTAGATCGGAAGTCCTTCGTATCGAAAGAGAATTGGAGGAAGCTAGAGGAAGACTCACTGCTATTCGACAAGCCAAGTATAAAAGATCAGATACTGATACCGATGCAGATACTGATCAGACCGGCTACGAGAGCTACACAACCAGATATGAGACTAGAGCTTATGAGACTCAATCACAGACAAATTATAACACGTATCAACAGCATTCTACAACGCACAATATTAACCAACTTAGTTGTGATAGACAAACTCTGGTTAGTCCTGAGAAAGTTTATTCAACGCAAAGCACATTAGAAAGGAAAATGAAAGAGAATCAGTATCGGTCTACCATGGAAAATCAATATGGTTCAGTTGAGAAGAAGTATAACGAAAGCCAATACGACAGACGATATACTTCAGACAGTCCATATGTTGTTACTGAAAAGAAAGTCACTATGGACAGTTCATCCGGTCAGTACAGTTCTATTGAAAGGAAGATCAATAAAGAAAGCTATAATACCGAGGCAACCATGTTGTAATGTTTGCAACACTCTTTTGCAAGTCAATTTATTAACGACAATGTTAACACTGCAATGATAAGACATCTTTTTACAATTGATTTTAACAATCTTTTACATTTGCTGAATGAATTAATAACTGTTGCCCTCTAGGATGTAAACGACAATCTATGAAAATAAGAAAAAGGAACAGGGAGAAAGTTAATGTGAAAAAAAAGTATTAATATACAAAATGCAAAAAGTTCTAACTAATGAAGAAGTAGAAGTTGAGATCGTTCTAATGATTGCTTTAATGATTCGAAGCTAATGATTTTGTTAATAAGAATCATTGCGCTCAAAAATAATATCTTCAGATTTGCAGTTTATGTTTCAGTAAAAAAAGGATATAATCTTACAATTTTAATTCTAAATATTAACAAATTCGTTGTCTTATCTTTAGAGAAGTCACGATAAAAATCTCTATATTATAATCTTGCGATGACAAACGACAGAAAAGTGCCCTTAGATAGAATTAACTATGTGCTTTCAAAATTAGCCTTTGTAAGAACAACTATTGATTGGAATATAACCGTCCATCTTTTTTACAAATTTGCTGTCCTGTTTGTCTAACACAAACAGTAATACAGAAAACTGCACATGACACGTTTCTATTTTGCATCAATGATTTTTAATGTTTTGATAAAATATTAATTTTCGATCTTTTGAGACATCTATCTTTTTGAAAATATATTCGAAAAATTTATAAAAATATTTGTATTCGT